TGTCACCCGGGTACGGGCCGCACCCCCCTTGTGACGCCACTGCTCTTATCACATGTATCTCTCTCTAATGTAAAGTGTCTCTTTTACGTTGCAGCAGCCTTTTTTTAAATGATCAGACTTGATAGGCTTATGGGTACATTATCAGACATAAAATAGGGAATATATAAATACACGCACATTCTTTTCTCTCTCTGACGGCTTGCTCCATCTATTTCATGTTCATGGTTCATGTATTTGTCTTCTATTTAGAGTCAGTGAAAGCTGCAGCTGACTACAATGTAACGATTCATATTACATTCACACAGCACAGATCCTGTACGTACAGTGGGAGTAATTGTGTCCTCTGACATCTACACAGATCAGGATGTCATCTATTCTACTGTCATTTATACCCTCAGGTGTGCGCCCGACGTGGAAGGACAGTCTGCAGGGCGTACGAGGTACATCTGAGGTCCTAGGAGCTAATGAAAGTTCTGTACTTAAAGGGAAATCATCATATATTCCCGATGGTGAGCAGTAGAGGGTGATATTATATCACATGGATCAGAGGATTGTGCAGAATATATCAATATGTATCTGTCAGGAGGGAGATGGGACGGAGCAATGTGCTGCAGATCTCTAGAGAGGTCAGTGATGGAATAATCTGCAGAATATATCAATATGGATCTGTCAGGGTGGAGATGGGATGGAGCAATGTTCTGCAGATCTCTAAAGAGGTCAGTGATGAAGCAATCTGCGTTACATTTTCTCATAGGTACATAGTTAAAGAAGAAGTTTTCTCCACATATGGTCATTGTGGGGATTCGGGGAATGGTCAGGACCTCTGTTGGGTCTGTTTTTCCATTAGTGGAATTCCCCCACTTACCTTCATTTTAGGGACATAGTGGTCCCCAGGAAGAAGGTAAGGGGGGGAATTCCACTAAGTGGTGTGAATCTCCCTAGATGGGAACACGTACAGAAGGTTTGGTCCAGAGGAGTCCCCCAGGGGCAGCTGAGGCCATTGTTACCCCACAGGTGAAGGTTAGACTTGTGCGCCGTCAAAAAATTTGTTTCATTTCGGAATATCCGTTATTTCGTAATCCGTGTCCGAAACTCAATCCGGATTTGTACGAAATACGAATTTTCGTTAGTTTCGCCACATTTTCATAACTTTACGAACATTCGTTATGATGAAGTTAGAAAGCAGAAATACCTTTGTTAATATTGGAGTCGATGGTAGTTTTTTTTAAATCCGAAATACGAAATTCCGTTAACGGATTTCGGATCCGAATTTCGTATTTCGGATAAAAAAAACAAAAAACTACCATCAACTCCAATATTAACAAAGGTATTTCTGCTTTCTAACTTCATCATAACGAATGTTCGTAACGGAACGGAATTTCGTATTTCCTGCCTGTATTGTAATGCAACCCTCAGCAGCAGAAGAGAAAACCTCTGATTGGTCAACTAAACAGTCTTTTTTTTTTATCCGAAATACTAAATTCCGTTTCGGATTCGTATTTCGGATAAAAAAAAATCTTGTCATGTTATTCAACCTCAGTCTCACAGGGGTAATATTATTAGTTCCCGTTTCAACGAAATTCGGATCCGAAATTCGTTAATGGAATTTCGTATTTCGGATACATTGGGAAACTGCAATGCTTCTGAATTTACGAATTTCAGGAAATTCGTACGAATTTAGATTCCTAACTAAACGAATCGCACATGTCTAGTGAAGGTTTCCCTTCTGATCCAATGAGGGAAGTTGGATAGAATTCCATATCCTCCCTCACAGAGCTCTATAGAAGGTGGAGGAACTTTGAGGTTTGGTCCAGAGGAGTCCCCCAGGTGCAGCTGAGGCCATTCTTACCCCACAGGTGAAGGTTTTCCCTTCTGATGCCAGGAGGGAAGTTCGATAGAATTCTATATCCTCCCTCACAGAGCTCTATAGAAGGTGGAGGATCTTTGAGGTTTAGTCCAGAGGAGTCCCCCAGGGGCAGCTCAGGCCATTGTTACCCCACAGGTGAATCTTTTCCCTTCTGATCCAATGAGGGAAGTTGGATAGAATTCCATATCTACCCTCACAGAACTCTATAGAAGGTGGAGGAACTTTGAGGTTTGGTCCAGAGGAGTCCCCCAGGGGCATCTCAGGACATTCTTACCCCACAGGTGAATGTTTTCCCTTCTGATTCCATGAGGGAAGTTGGATAGAATTCCATATCTACCCTCACAGAACTCTATAGAAGGTGGAGGAACTTTGAGGTTTGGTCCAGAGGAGTCCCCCAGGGGCATCTCAGGACATTCTTACCACACAGGTGAATGTTTTCCCTTCTGATTCCATGAGGGAAGTTGGATAGAATTCCATATCTTCCCTTACAGAGCTCTATAGAAGGTGGAGGAAGGTTTGATGTTCTCATTCATATTGAAGCAGATAATCGATAAAGAACAAGCCATGAAAAACACACCAACGTGACTGTTAGAAGTACACTTTATTCCGGTTTCTACAGATACTACAAGTACACAGAGACTTATTCACTGAATTCATTTCCACCTCATGGCAGTCAATGGAGTTTCGTTTGGCAAATCAGGTTCTTTACATCAGATATACAGACAATTCGATCCTTAAACTTCATTCCTCTTTTAGTAATAATAATATCCATTTGGTGTCCACATCACAAATCCAACACTGCCGTCACATCGATTATACGGAACCAGGAATAAATTCTCAGTGCCAACCTGAGAGGTAGTGTTAGTGTCTGCTTCTTGACTTGGGACCTGAAGAACTTGCACTGGTGCTGCGGGGGCCTGAGGAACTTGGGCTGGTACTACAGGGGCCTGGGGAACTTGCACTTGTACTGCAGGGGCCTGAGGAACTTGGACTGGTGCTCCAGGGGCCTGAACAAATTGCACAGGTGCTGCAGGGACCTGAGGAACTTGGACTGCTACTGCAGGGGCCTGAGGAACTTGTACTGGTGCTGCAGGGGCCTGAGGAACTTGGACTGGTGCTGCAGGGGCCTGAACAAATTGCACTGGTGCTGCAGGGACCTGAGGAACTGGGACTGGTGCTGCAGGGGCCTGAACATATTGCACTGGTGCTGTAGGGGCCTGAACAAATTGCACTGGTACTGCAGGGGCCTGAGGACCTTGCACTGGTACTGCAGGGGCCTGAGGAACTTGGACTGGGGCTGCCGGGGCTTGATTAAATTGCACAGGTGCTGCAGGGACCTGAGGAACTTGGACTGCTACTGCAGGGGCCTGAGGAACTTGGACTGGTGCTGCCGGGGCTTGAGGAACTTGGACTGGTGCTGTAGGGATCTGAACAAATTGCACTGGTGTTGCAGGGGCCTGAGGAACTTGGACTGGTGCTGCAGGGGCCTGAACAAATTGCACTGGTGCTGCAGGGGCCTGAGGAACTTGGACTGGTGCTGCAGGGGTCTGAACATATTGCACTTGTGCTACAGGGACCTGAGGAACTTGGACTGGTGCTGCAGGGGCCTGAACAAATTGCACTGGTACTGAAGGGGCCTGAGGAACTTGGACTGGTGCTGCAGGGGCCTGAGGAACTTGCACTGGTACTGCAGGGGCCTGAGGAACTTGGACTGGTGCTGCAGGGGCCTGAGGAACTTGGACTGGTACTGCAGGGGCCTGAGGAACTTGGACTGGTGCTGCAGGGGCCTGAACAAATTGCACTGGTGCTGCAGGGACCTGAGGAACTTGGACTGGTGCTGCAGGGGCCTGAACATATTGCACTGGTGCTGCAGGGGCCTGAGGAACTTGCACTGGTGCTGCAGGGGCCTGAGGAACTTGCACTGGTGCTGCAGGGGCCTGAGGAACTTGCACTGGTGCTGCAGGGGCCTGAGGAACTTGCACTGGTGCTGCAGGGGCCTGAGGAACTTGCACTGGTACTGCAGGGGCCTGAGGAACTTGGACTGGTGCTGCAGGGGCCTGAACAAATTGCACTGGTGCTGCAGGGGCCTGAGGAACTTGGACTGGTGCTGCAGGGGCCTGAACAAATTGCACTGGTGCTGCAGGGGCCTGAGGAACTTGGACTGGTGCTGCAGGGGCCTGAACATATTGCACTTGTGCTGCAGGGGCCTGAACAAATTGCACTGGTACTGCAGAGGCCTGAGGAACTTGGACTGGTGCTGCAGGGGCCTGAACATATTGCACTGGTGCTGCAGGGACCTGAGGAACTTGCACTGGTACTGCAGAGGCCTCAGGAACTTGGACTGGTGCTGCAGGGGCCTGAACATATTGCACTTGTGCTGCAGGGACCTGAGGAACTGGGACTGGTGCTGCAGGGGCCTGAACATATTGCACTTGTGCTGCAGGGACCTGAGGAACTTGGACTGGTGCTGCCGGGGCCTGAACAAATTGCACTGGTACTGCAGGGGCCTGAGGAACTTGGACTGGTGCTGCAGGGGCCTGAACAAATTGCACTGGTACTGCAGGGACCTGAGGGACTTGAACTGGTGCTGCAGGGACCTGAACATATTGCACTGGTGCTGCAGGGGCCTGAACATATTGCACTGGTGCTGCAGGGACCTGAGGAACTTGCACTGGTACTGCAGAGGCATGAGGAACTTGGACTGGTGCTGCAGGGGCCTGAACATATTGCACTTGTGCTGCAGGGACCTGAGGACCTGGGACTGGTGCTGCAGGGGCCTGAGGAACTTGGACTGGTGCTACAGGGGCCTGAGGAACTTGCACTGGTACTGCAGGGGCCTGAGGAACTTGGACTGGGGCTGCCGGGGCCTGAGCAAATTGCATTGGTACTGCCGGGGCTTGAGGAACTTGGACTGGTGCTGTAGGGATCTGAACAAATTGCACTGGTGCTGAAGGGGCCTGGGGAACTTGGACCGGTGCTGCAGGGGCCTGAACATATTGCACTGGTGCTGCAGGGGCCTGAGGAACTTGGACTGATGCTGCAGGGGCTTGAACAAATTGCACTGGTGCTGCAGAGGCCTGAGGAACTGTCAGTGGTGCCACAAAGACCTGATGAGTTTGAGCTGGTGCTGCAGGGGCCTGAGAGGCTTGTGGAGCAGGGGCCTGAGAAACTGGCACTGGTGCCACAGGGACCTGCTGAGCTTGCAGTGGTGCTGCAGGGACCTGAGAAACTGTTGCTGGGGCTTGAGGAGCTGACACTTGGACTGCAGAGACCTGTGGAGCTAGCACTGGTGCCGAAACTACATATTGCTCTTGTGGTGCTTGATATTGCCATTGGTAAAATCTGTAATACGGAAATTGTGCAACTGTTTGGGTCGCAGCATCAGGCATCTGAAGAACTGACACTGGGATTCCTGGGGCCTGAGTAACTGGCACTTGTGCTGCTGGGGCCTGAGGAACTTGCACTGGTACTGCAGAGGCCTGAGGAACTTGGACTGGTGCTGCAGGGGCCTGAACATATTGCACTTGTGCTGCAGGGACCTGAGGAACTTGGACTGGTGCTGCAGGTACCTGAACAAATTGCACTGGTGCTGCAGGGACCTGAGGAACTTGCACTGCTACTGCAGGGGCCTGAGGAACTTGAACTGGTGCTGCAGGGGCCTGAGGAACTTGCACTGGTACTGCAGGGGCCTGAGGAACGTGGACTGGTGCTGCAGGGACCTGAGGAACTTGCACTGGTACTGCAGGGGCCTGAACAAATTGCACTTGTGCTGCAAGGACCTGAGGAACTTGGACTGGTGCTGCAGGGCCCTGAGGAACTTGGACTGGTGCTGCAGGGGCCTGAACAAATTGCACTGGTACTGCAGGGACCTGAGGAACTTGGACTGGTGCTGCAGGGGCCTGAACAAATTGCACTGGTGCTGCAGGGGCCTGAGGAACTTGGACTGGTGCTGCAGGGGCCTGAACAAATTGCACTGGTGCTGCAGGAACCTGAGGAACTTGCACTGGTACTGCAGGGGCCTGAGGAACTTGAACTGGTGCTGCAGGGGCCTGAACAAATTGCACTGGTGCTGCAGGAACCTGAGGAACTTGCACTGGTACTGCAGGAGCCTGAGGAACTTGGACTGGTGCTGCAGGGACTTGAGAAGTTGATACTGCAGGGACCTGAGGAGCAAACACTAGTGGCCCAGGTGCCAGAGGAGGCAACATTTGTGGTGTAGGGGCCTGAGGAGCTGGCACTGGTGGGGAAAGGACCTGAGCAGCTGGTACTTGTGTTGCAGGGGCCTGAGGAGCTGGCACTGGTGCTGAAAGGACCTGAGCAGCTGGCACTTGTGTTGCAGGGGCCTGAGGAGCTGGCACTGACGCTGAAAGGTCCTGAGCAGCTGGCACTTGTGTTGCAGGGGCCTGAGGGGCAACTGGTTGTAAGCTTCCCCATGAACAAACATATGGATAACCAGCTGCCTGAGTTAGCACTTGCTGAAATTGAGCTGGTGCACCTACAGGTGCCTGTACTGCTTGTTGAACCCAAAGCTGCTGAGCTGGTTGTTGAACTGGTGCACCCTGTTGACCTTGAGCGACTGTTGGAAGCAGTGCTTGTTGTGGAGATGCATAACTTGGAGCTTGGAGAGTTGGCTGTTGCAGTGTTGGAGCACCAGATGTTGGTTGTTGATTGGCAGGAGCTTGCTGTTGAGCAATACAAGGTAGGGAGCTCCTTGCTTTAAGCAGACGCTTGTAATATGCCTTGGCAACCACGCACACCAACGTGACATATTCTTTAAAGCTTATTTCACCGTCACGGTTTCTGTCGACTGCTTTCAAAACTAGGCCAATAGTTTCCGCATCCCCTGAGTTCTGTAAGAGAAAAATTGGGGGAAATTGTAAATGTGTTTGCTTTGTTGTGACTGTGTTTTTAGTGATATATTCATGCATATAGATACCCTTCCATTCCAAGCAGACACTATAATTGTACGATCTTTTCTAGAGCTACCATCAACTATGTAGTACAGAGGCCTGCCTGGTTTGATAATAATTGATTGGATTGTTTAGGTTTGGCCTCATAATACAAAATTTTGGTAAATCTACAGGCGATTGTGCAAAGATTCAAAATGTTTGATCCTTCAGCTTCACCCCATTCATTTCCAGGTTCATACTCACTTTGGTGGCCTCAGACAGCTCCTCCTGTATGAGCTGCTCCACCTCTGCAGGTTTTAGGTTCTGACCATGGCAGGTGGACTGCGAATACTTCTCGAAGATGTCCACGAGTACGTTGATGGCTTGCATGAGCTCAGACATCTTGAATGATGTTCTTTCAAATCTGAAAATGATTGGATGACATTTGTGTTACTGATTTCTATATTTGTTCAATAATGTGTATACTTTTAAGTCAAATTCATGGAAGAAGGAGGTGTAGGATGAGGTGTGGAAGAAGGTGAAGGATGGGGTATGGTAGGAGGTGAAGGATGAGATATGGAAGAAGGAGAAGAATGAGTTGTGGTAGGAGGTCTAGAATGAGGTATGGAATGAGAAGAAGATATAAAAGGTGAAGGGTGAGTGTGGAATAGGGTGTAGGATGGAGGTGAAGGGTGATGTATGGAATGGGGTGTAGGATGAGGTATGAAAGGAGATATAGAAGGGGGTGTAGGGTGAAGTATGGGAGGAGAAGTAGGATGAGGTGTGGAAGGAGAAGTAGAAGGAGGTATGGAAAGTGGTGAAGGATGAGGTATGGAAGGAGAAGTAGGATGAGGTATGGAAGGAGAAGTAGAATGAGGTATGGAAGGTGGTGTAGGATGAGGTATGGCAGAAGAAGGATGAGGTATGGCAGAAGGAAAATGTGTGGAAGGAAATGTAGGAGGGGTTATGGATAATGTGGGAGGGGCTATGAAAGGAGATATACATTTACTGCACGATGGAGATGTGGGAGGAGTTATGAAACATGTGGGAAGCGTAATGGAAGAAGCTATAGTCATACTTTGGGAACAAGATGTGGGAGGAAGGAGATATAGGAATACATTTACCTAATGCATATATACTGTGCCAATAATGGAAAAGTTGTACTTATATTTCTATAATGGCCATTTTTATTGATTTGTTTCTCAACATCCATTATAGTGTTGCCCTATAATATGTGCAATTAAATAACATTCAACTATGAAATGATAATAACCAACACAAATAGATACAAGGGATGGAGACACATTATTCAAACTGCATTCAACTCACAATTTAATTCTAGTAAAGTACCTTAAAAAATTGCTACTTTTTGCCTATTTTCCGAAAATATTAAAGTAAAGAAAACCGAATACATATCAAAAATGACAGGAAGGCATAGAGATATCTTATTTGTTTAGGTCTGAACATATTTAAAGGAAATGGCATAAAAAAATGGGGTCCCCTTTAAATCAGGAGCCTCCTTTCACATTAGAGCCCCCCACTTTAACATCAGAGTATCTCTTCAGACCAGCAACCCTCTTCTTTTACATCTGAGCCCCCCCCCCTTTCACAATAGGAGCTCACCTTCACATCAGAGCCCCTCCTTTCACATCAGAGCCCCCCACTTGAACATCAGAGTATCCCTTCACACCAGAAGCCCTCTCCTTTTACATCTGAGCCCCACCTTTTTCACAATAGGAGCTCCCCTTCACATCAGAGCACTTCCTTTCACTATGTGAGCTCCCCTTCACATCAGAACCCCTCCTTTCACTATGGGAGCTCCCCCAGTAGGAGCTCTCCTTCACATCAGAGCACTTCCTTTCACTATAGGAGCTCCCCTTCACATCAGAGCACTCTTCACACCAGAAGCCCTCTCCTTTTACATCTGAGCTCCCCCATTCACAATAGGAGCTCTCCTTCACATCAGAGCACTTCCTTTCACTATAGGAGCTCCCCTTCACATCAGAGCCCCCTCCTTTCACATCACAGCCCCCCACTTTAACATCAGAGTATCCCTTCACACCAGAAGCCACCCCTTCACATCAGAACCCCTCCTTTCACTATGGGAGCTCCCCTTCACATCAGAGCCCCCTCCTTTCACATCAGAACCCCCCACTTAAACATCAGAGTATATCTTCACACCAGAAGCCCTCTCCTTTTACATCTGAACTCCCCCCATTCACAATAGGAGCTCTCCTTTACATCAGAGCACTTCCTTTCACTATAGGAGCTCCCCTTCACATCAGAGCCCCCTCCTTTCACATCAGAGCCCCCCACTTGAACATCAGAGTATCCCTTCACACCAGAAGCCCTCTCCTTTTACATCTGAGCCCCCCTCCCCCATTCACAATAGGAGCTTCTCTTCACATCAGAGCCCTTCCTTTCACTATGTGAGCTCCCCTTCACATCAGAACCCCTCCTTTCACTATGGGAGCTCCCCATCACATCAGAGCCCCCTCCTTTCACATCAGAGCCCCCCACTTTAACATCAGAGTATCTCTTCACACCAGAAGGCATCACCTTTTCAATCTGAGCCCCCTCCCCCTCCTTCACAATAGGAGCTCCCCTTCACATCAGAGCCCTTCATTTCTCTATGGGAGCTCCCCTTCACATCAGAGCCCCCTCTTTTCACATCAGAGCCCCCCACTTTAACATCAGAGTATCTCTTCACACCAGTAGGCATCTCCTTTTCAATCTGAGCCCCCCTTCACAATAGGAGCTCCCCTTCACATGAGAGCCCTTCCTTTCACTATGGGAGCTCCCCTTCACATCAGAACCCCTAATTTCTCTATGGGAGCTCCCCTTCACGTCAGAACCCCTAATTTCTCTATGGGAGCTCCCCTTCACATCAGAGCCCCTCCTTTCACATCAGAGCCCCCCACTTTAACATCAGTGTATCTCTTCACACCAGAAGCTCTCTCCTTTTACATCTGAGCCCCCTCCCACCCTTCACAATAGGAGCTCCCCGTCACATCAGAGCCCCCTCCTTTCACATCAGAGTTCCCCTTCACATCACAAGCTGCGCTTCACATAAGAAGCACCCCCCTTCACATCAGGAACCCTCTTCAAATCAAAAGCTCCCCCTTCACCTCAGGAGGATCTTGAGGCACCCCTGAGGAAGCCAAAAGATGGCCCAGGGTGCCACGGCATCCTGGTTAAGAAACGCTGGTGCAGAATATTGCTCTGTTTTTTATATCCCCCTTAAATCTTACAGTAACAAGTAAATAGTAATTAAAATAAAATAAAGAAATATAAATGAATAAAGCAAAAAGAAAGTTACTTAAACTAAAAATAACAGAAAGATGTGGA